TTATTTTGTACTTTTACTACTATTGTTTTTTAAAATTAAAAAAAAAAAAACAAAAAAGGAATATATATAAATTATTTGCTTAGAGCAAAGGATTTTCAAAGGGGGCAAGGCATGCATATTCCTTTAGACACTGATTTTGCAATTGCCTTTATAATTCCTTTATTCCTTTTATATTTTTATCATAAAAAATTTTATTACTTAATGTCTCAATATTTTTTTTGGTAAAAAATAATTTGGAGATAAATAAGTTATTCAATCTTTCAGATCAAAATAAGATGTGTCGTACCTAATAATTTAAGATAAGTGGATACAGGTCGTGCATTTAAGATGACCCTAACAAGTTATCACTAACAAAACTCGAACTCAATACCTCTTCATCGAAAAAAACAAACCTAACCAATTAAATTAACCACTTGTTAGTAATATCTCAATATTTGACTCATTGGAAAGTGCATAAAAAATATCGATATGAATCAAATGCTGAACCGACCTCATTGATGAATCTGTATATTACATATAGCACGAAATCTACAATGTCGATGGTACTGCTAAATTGTACAACATATTCATTAAATTTGCAACAAATTGATAAAAGTGAAATAACTTATGATCTTAAAAAATTAATTGATAATGAAATGTTTTTTGAATTATTTGGATCTAATTGATGTTAAAGGCAATGCATAATAATGAAAAATTTTGCTTATTATGGTATTTCATTGCTTCAATGAGACAATTGCAGTATTGACCTAAAGGTTCATTAGTAATTATAATTTTTTGTCAAAAACAGGCAAATAACTGAAAGAAGAACAAGATCTAAGTTCACCCAGTTTGGGGTTAGGTAAAAGTCCCTACATTGACAGATGCTAGATAGGATATTAACATAATCATAAATTGTCATGTAAATATAAATTTTGAGAAAAAGGTAATTAGAATACCGTTGATGTAAATATAAATGGATACATAATTATGTTATTTGTACATATTCTCGCACATAAACAATACACATGCGTAGATATATGCATCACATGAGTACGATGAAAATAATGATTTAAGAGGATATATTTGTTTAATACTATGCTTACATGGTTGAGTTCAAGTACATGCAACGATGCTATGCATCACAAATCGTTTTCCTATGACTTTGCTAATTATCGACAATAGTTGTTTGAGTAATTGACTGAAGAAATTAGTATAATTGCCTCTAGAAGATGCTAATCTATATGCACTCAAACAAATGCTGACTATCATTTTAAATGAGAATCATTAACAGAAAGGTGTAAATGATATGTAGATACCATGCTAGAAGTTGGTGTATTCTTTCCTTACAAAAAGGTAAAAATGATACCTCAATGGCATGCTAAAAAATTAAAATGTCTGTTTTTCCTTCGTAACCAATTAATTATGGCCCACACACACACACACACACACACATATATATATATATATATATATATATATATCCTCCATTAACGATGTGGAAAATTAAATAATTCTTTGCACTATGATTAATGTATGGTGCAAATTTTAATGATTTTCATCGTTAAAACTTAAATTTTTCAAACAAATAGAAAATTCCAATTCCTTGTCAAACAACACTTAAATTTTGATTTGCAAATTCTTATGACTCAAAGGTGATGTTATAGGAGTATTACTTTTCTTGTGTTGTTCAATAAATAAATATATATATATATATATATATTAAAGTATGAATTATTAACCAATACACTAATAATAAAATTTTTAATTTTATTACCGAATTTAAAAGATTGACATTTATTGATGTTAAAAAACTATTATTTAATTATCAAATAAGCGTGTGGCAGTAAAACCTCGGCTGATGTGAAATTAAAAACTCTAAATTGATGTAAAGAATAATAATTTTTTAAAATATTTATTAAAACTGAAAATTGCTTACTGTGGTCTTTTAGCTATGCTTTTTGACCTTTTGTACTAAAATGAAGCATCGCATCTATATATGAGGCACTAAAAAGGTGATCAAGGAATCGGATCCATGATACTACCATATATTCCCAGATCCATGATACTACCATGATGGAAAAATGTCAAGCACCTTCTTCTTTAGTAAATTCTTATTCTTAATTATTACATATCCGACGTTCTTGTTTTACAATCGTGTATTAAAATAATTTTACTTGACAAATATAGCATTCCTTTTTCTTTTATACATATCCATATTTATACTCATATGGTTTCCACTCTTGAATTATAAGATGTTCAATTTCTTGAATCTCATTCCTTACTAGTTTTGATCCAATTCGAACCTTAAACTTTTAACACAATTTTAAATTGTTGGATCATCGTGTTAAGGATAAATTAATTATAGCCTATTGTATGTTTACATATATGATCACCACTTAAGTTTATCTTTACAAAATCAAATTACGCAATAATATATATATATATATTGAATTAATTCATACAGATTTATTTATATTAAATTTAATAAATTTATAAAAAAATTATTTTCATTCATTCTTTAAACGGATTCGAATCTAGATAATCAAAGAAGAGCAATTTTTTTTTGACAGCCAACATATATAAATATATATATTTACTATTTATATTTTGTAGGCAACATGCATGCAGTAATTGACCTCTCTATATATTTGTCATCTTTTTTTTATGTAATTATGGGTTTTTTTTTTCTGAGTTGATAGCTAAAAGAAATGCTGACTCCAAGATCAATTTCCCTAACCTCGATCTTTTGCTTGATCTTGCCCACAAGAAATTAGAAAGTTTTGCGTATAATTATTATAAAGTGTGAAAGCAGTGTTGGACCATTGGATAGCTCTGAAAAATGCCAAATATTCTACCGAACATGCTTGCTAGGAGAATCCAAATATAACAATTGCCAATCAAACAAAATTATCTCCCTCTTAATTTCTAGTCTCTTTTTATTTTTATTTATTTCCTTTTTGTCTTTTAATTTTTTCAGATATCAATTAATTGTTGGATTTGGTCTTAAAAATTTTCACATGAACTATATATTTTCATTTGTAATTCCACACGAGAATCTTGCTTAGCATCCAATTCGAAGAGCAAGCTTCTCGATATTCCACTCAACAATTACATATCGACAAATTGTGCATATAGCTAAACATGATAAAAAAAAAAAAAAAGAACTGAAGAATAAATTTAGAAAATTAAAATACTAGGAATGGTTAGTTTAATTGATCAATTACAAGTTAGACCTATTCACAAGTTGAGCCTTGAAAATGATATTTGAAATCTAAGTGTAATTCGATTCAAAATTTTATTTAATTAAGAAATTTTATTTTTATTTAATTTTAATTTTAAAATATATTTAAAAATATATATTTTTTAATATTTTATAAAAATTTTAAATCTTTTGAACTGATCCAGCCGATAGAGTCAAACCATACTTAAAGGTTTTTTAATGGCCAATCGGGCCTGGCCAGTCCAACCCATGGACAAACTTACTACTAGCTTCCCCTTTCCGTTTATTGTTGTAATATTATTATAATAACGTTGCTTTCTAGAAATAGTCTTTGTTAATTAATTTGGTAATTGCAATGTGAAAGATTCTTCCGCCGCCTTGCTCTTATTTTAGCAGAATTACCGCCTTTTAGTCAAAAAAAATCTACAAGAATGGGAGGTGAAAATAACATTAATGTCCCAAAATAATAAAATAAATTAGATTAATAAAACTGTCGCCATCTGAATTAATATCATAATTACATTTGCTCCCCAAAAATTTTACCTAAACCTTAACTTGAGAATTTGAGCATATCAAACATATATTCCTTGGAATCTAATAAAGGGGATTTTGCCAATTATGCCATTGAAACCACTAACCAAATATATATATATATATATATATATAGAAGATTATATATTATAATGAGGAGGCCACTTTCACAACATTTCTTTTGTGTTGTATTTTTCATTGATGAGTAGTAAACCTAGCAATTTAAAATAAGATAAAGTGACTTGACATAAAAATAATGTAAAAAATATATAAAAATAATACGATTTAAAATTTTAATAAAAATTATAAATAAATTTAATAAAATTAAAATTTAAATTTAATATTTTTATATTAATATTAATTATAATACATAATTTTTGTATAAAATATAATTTGAATATATAAATTATTAATATTTTATGCGACAACGATCACATCTAATGAGTAGCATAGAGTAAGGTGCCAAAATCACAATTCAATAAAATAGGACAATAGGGGGGTTATGGAAATGATACGTCAGAGAAGAAATTAAAAAGGGAGGGATTAATTGATGGATTATATCGTGACGGTGAAGAGTGATGAGCATGCCTGCACTTGGATGGTCAATCCAGACTCTTGGTGAGAGTGACTTTGGCTAAGCCTTTCCTTTTCAGAATCTTCTCTAATCTTCTCTCTCTTTATATATATTTGGGGGGGGGGGGGGGGGGGGGGAGAAAGTAGGGACGTCTCCCGTAAAACCATGAGCATTTACTTTACATAGTTATATAATATTCCTTCAATGACTTTTCAAAAAAGAAAGAACCCGTATGACACTGCTATTGAGATGATGACAATGAAATCACTTAGATAAAAATTGGCCAGTGTTCCTTTTGCTCACTATAAAGGTAGTGTATATCAGTTGGCAGTGCAGTTAATTTGCTGGAATATATATTTGGATTAATTCCCCATTTACATATTATAATATATATGGTTCTTGATGATTTTTAAATAAATTTGTGTATTATCATATAAAATATTAATAATTTATATATTTATATTATATTTTATACGAAAATTATAAATTATAATTTAAGTAGACACAAAAATATAAAATATATTTTTTATTTTGTTAAAGCTATATATATATATATGATTTTTACTTAAATTTTAAATTAGATCATATTCATATTTTTTTAATATTATCGTATAATATTTTATATTGTAAGTTTAGTTTTAGAAAAACACGAATATAAATATAAAAAAATATATACATTAAAAAAAAAAAACTTGCTCTAATATCAAAGATGGAAAGTGGAAACCAAAAGGTAACAGCAACAACTTTTAGGGTCACATATGGAATTTCACATATCTCACAATATACATGATGACATAATGATATACATGATGACATAATGACAAACTTGCAGCTGTTGTTACATTTAAGGCCAGTAAAAGTAAGAAACCTATTTGCTTTCCATCTATGGCAAGTCGAATCAACTTTTTTGGCACCTGTTTTTCGAACTTCGACAAAACACTAGGTTTTAGCTAAAATGGGAGTATCTCACTACATCATTGACTTGTAGTTGCAGTTTTCTCGAATAGCCCAAGCCTATAATCAGCCAACCTTGACTTGTATGCAGAAGTCTTGTATTCCCACCATGTGAACTCCTTGTACAAGCTCTCTTCTCCTTCTGCCACTAGCGAGGGTAAAGGCCTTATCTTTTCACTCAAAGGTGGCCCTCCAAAATAGATCATTGAAACTCTTGATCTCAGTGAGTCTGCCAACACCCTATGCCTCACACTTCTAAGCCTCCCATTAGTCATTACCTGCCTCAAATAAACAAAGTTAATCCACATCCAAATCAGAAATTTTATAACAAAGAAAAGAAGTATTGAACACAAGAAGGAAAAATAAGGAAAAAAAAAAACAACCCAAGAATTTAGCCTTAGGAGACTTAAATTAGGGTGAAAATATATAAAAAAAGACATGTGCTAACATTAGATCTTGGGCAGGCAGCAGGAGACAAGAGGTGGCAGTGGCACCACACATGAGGCTGAATTAAGGGAACCATTTCAACATGGCATAAAGAGAGACAGAGAGAGAAAGAAAAGAGTTTTTGATGAAACTTGCCTGGAAAGAACTCATTAAAATAGTGACAGATAATGGTGAAGTTTAAAAAAAAAAAAAAAAGGAAGAATTAAGTAAACTTCACCAGGACCCAGTTTCATATTTCTCTTTCTTCATTAAAAGAAAAGACTGTTGACATTATATACCTGCAAGGCATCACCAACATTGATAAAAAAGGAGGTCTGATCAGGTGGGACTGAAACCCAAGTCTCATCTCTCAGACAGATTTGCAGGCCTGATGTGTTGTTGGATCTTAGGACAGAAATGATCTGCGGGTCTGTGTGCTCCCCGAACCCAATCAAAGTTCTGCCACTCAATGCCTGTAGCTCTGGGCATGGTGGGTAGTGGTTTAGCCTGAAACACGAGTCACTCTTCTCATCTCTTAACAGCCTACTCAACACATTCCTCGGCTCAATTTTCAGACCATCAGCCAACAATTCCAGTACTTCAAATGCCATTCTCTTCACTGCTGTGATATAGTCATTTACAGCTGAGCTGCTTCATCAAAATGCCAAAATTTAGTCTTAACAATTATATTGAAGACGTTAAAGCAAACGATTACGAAGCAGCTTAACTTTCTTTGTTTGTAAAATCTTGGAAACAAAAAGAAAGGTATTTAAAGAGTTAAAAAAGAAAAATGGTCCTCTGTAAAAAGTTTACCGGAAAATTTCAGAGTTTTGCCGGAAAATGTTTAGAGTTTTGAGAGAGGTGACTTGAGGATTGGTATTGAGAAGGAGATATTCAATCCATCCCACATCACCATTTGATCCAATTCTCTTGCTGCCATAGCCAAAAGGGTCGGGAGGACCAGCTTTGTCTTTCTCAGACTGGGGAAGATTGAAAAACCTGATAGCTTCAGCTTCCAATCTGGCAATGAATTCCATTGGAACACCATGATTGACCAGCTTGAAGAAGCCAAACTCCTCACAGGACTTAACTATCAAGGTCTTTGCTTCAGGGTCTCTCAGGTCTATCACTGGAATTCCTGTGAAAGCACTGGTAGGCTTGCATGTTTTGATCAAAGAGTAATGGTCTAATGCTGCAGGCTGTGACAGGACAACCATGGTCGTTGGCTGCACAGACAAAGAGGAATAAAGATAAAGTAAAGCAAAGAACAGAGTAAACAGGGGAAAGCAGAGAAAGAGGAGAGAATGGGAATGGAGGGATTATAGGAGGGAGATTGATGGTATTTAAATAGGCAAACGGGTGGGGATTTTGCTAATGCATGAATGTCATAGAAAGAGGCAAAAAAGGCAGAGGCGTTACTAACTATAGAGAGGAGCCATCTGGCCCTGTGCTGTCTGCTTGCCAATTTATGCTACCGAGGGAAAAAATGAGAACGAAATTTTCTTTTCTTTTCCAACAAATGGACTATAAAATATAAAAATTATTAATGTTTGTGGAACTTGCGTGGGTCTCTTTCCTCTGCGGCGCTGCCTTCTCACTTTTATTTTGGATTAATCAAAAGACTTTCAGGAATTTGCAAAACCCAATTCCTATAAATTTTAATTATTGCATTTTTTATAGCAGATGCTATTTTACCTACCATTAGTGCAGGGAAATTCTATTGCTAATTCTTTATCTTCTGCCCGAAGGCCCTAAACAAACATACAATTAAAACATGGTCTAGACATCAATTTGATTCAGGCTATAATCAATTGAGTCTGATTTAAATAGATAAATTCATTTGTATTTTTATTTGTATTTATTTATTTATTTATTTATTATTTATTATTATTTATTAATATATTTTATTATTATTATTTATCTATTAACATATTTTATTATTTATCTATTAATATTCTTTTTTATTTTTATCTTTTCGGCTAGGATTAAGATAAAAAAAAATTTTAGAATTCTATCGTAAATTTGAGATTTAATCAAAGTCTATATTAGATTCAAAGATTGAATTTCAATCCAAGATGAAATTGAGATTGATCATAAACTCTTTTGATCAATCCCTATAAATAGGTCCATAAATCACAAAGAAAAACACATAGAAAGAATAGACACGGAGAGAGAGCAAAAAGAAAAGAAAAATGGGTGTTCAAAAGGGTCAGAAGCAATTTTATGAGTTTTTTATAGAAATTTTTAAGAATTTTTGGTGAATTTTTTGGCGAAATTAGAATTTTTCGGTGACTTTTACGGTATCGGTTAAATTTTTCGACCAGCTACCCAATTTTCGGTCTACTATTTTCAGAAACTGACTAACTTTTCGACGAACCCAGATTTCAATAATATTTTTCAAAATTCGACAAGATTCAACCGGTGTTCTTGGTTCTTTAGAGAGAAGGAAGAGAAAAAAAAAAAAGAAGATAAAGAGGAAAAGAAGCAATCTGCAAAAAAACAAAAGTTGGAGCCTTTTATAGTGCCGTAAAATGACGTCGTTTTTGTGTTAGTGAACCCACAGGATCCGTACGTTTTGCTAAAATCCGACTCGACCCGATCGTCACCCAATCCAGTGACCCGTGTACTAAGCTTCCCCTAGAGCCTAGTCGAGCCCAGTTGCGTGCTCTCGAGCCGTTTTCCTTCCTCAAGCAGAGCCAATCTCAACCGCTCAAGCTGAGCCGCGTTAAGATTTTTTTTTAATATTTATTTATTTATTGTTATTATTATTATTATTTATTGATTAGATTAAAGTTATTTAGTATTTCTTATTTTATTTTTTTATTTTTTTATTTAAATAAAATTTTAAAAAAATATTTTTGAGGAAAAGTTGAAAGTATTAATTTTTCTTGAAAATAGGTTTTTCTAAAAAAATATTTCGAGGAAAAGTTGAAAGTATCAATTTTTCTTGAAATTAAAGTTTCAGAAAAATATTTTGGGGAAAAAGTGAAACTATCAATTTTTCTTGTATAAAAGCAATGAGTTTTTGAAGAGAAAATGATTGATATCTAAAGCTGAATCATTTTTTTTAATTTTTATTTTTTTTTTTTGTTTCTTGAATTTTTTTTAATGTTAAATAATCCGACGATAGAGTCTTTGTAAGTGAAATAGTAGTCTCCTTGCATATTCTTGAGGTGAGAGAATTTTTTTAATTTTCTACTAAAAGTATTAGAGTCAATTGAGAATAATTTTTAATAATTAATTACTATAAATTTTTAAGGCTTATTGGATAACACAAAATTAAGCTGGTACCATCTTTCGATAGACGTTGTGAGGGTGTTACAACATTTCCTCACATGTAACTGTACTCTCGAACTCTATTCTGGTCAGTAGATCTGAACCTATTTTTTTAGGGACCCTTAGCTTAGGTATTCCTTAAAAGGATAAATTTTGTATGTGACCAATCGTACTTAGATAAAAAAGATTAGTGGTGACTCCTTAAGTCAATATCTAACGATAAATCTCCGAATCTAGATGTTATGACATATGGTAAAAAAAATTCTAATTCCTTGATTACTTCAAACTCCTTTTGCCAACTTTTTCAAATGTTTCACATGATAAAGGAATAATGACAGAGCACTTGCATTGTTACGTTATATATGATACTTTGATTTTTTTTCTTTTTTCCTTTTTTTTGGCCTAAGCATTCAATCCCAGCAATGCAAACAGAAAATTCAGTCAGTTTCTAAGAATCATGATCTCTGTTGGCTCTTGGCAATTAAAAAGCGTGTCGTCTCTCCACTGCTTTAATAGTGATTTGTCCTAACATCTCTGATGAGTTCCAGTTGCAGATCACTTGCCTAAATTTCAAGAGTCGGATACAGTAACCCGATTATGCAATAAGATAAGAACTCTCTCGTTATTTATGACCTTTTCATCTGTTTTGATTAAGAGATTCAATATCACGTTTTCTTAATAAAGTTGAGTAAACTTGAAAATTTGACGCCTTACAAATTACCATACTAAGAAAATCTCTTTCCCTGTTTATCTCTCCTCCAAGTAATTTGTAACATTTCAATCAAAGAGTGTCTCATGCATGTTTAAAATAACGGAAAAATAGATTAATTCAAGGTTGCGGTGTAGATTAATAATGGTTGGTTGAAATCGGTACTTAGTTATAAAGTAATCTTTTTTTTTTTCAGATACAATTTTGAAAAATGGAACATTTGAACTTACTTTTTCTAGTTAGTGGATACATTTTCACATTGAATTCAAATATCAAACACTTGTTTGATTGCAAAAAAAAAATAATCCAAGCTTTGTATGAGTTTGATGATCATCTTACCATGTGATTTTAATGCATTTAAAATTTTATTTTCAGATTGTTCTCTATAAAAATCAAAGTTTATTTGATAAGGAAAAGGAGTTTCTGTTATTCAGTTTATCCAAAAAAAATGAAAAGGAGTTTCTGTTCTTAGCCACTGGACGACTCTCGTTAGGTTGATTACTTTTTATAATATATATATATATATATATATATATAATTATAAGAAAAACAGCAATGATAAAAGGAAAATCTCTAAAGATTTTAATCTTACCCATATTTAATGAAAAACTCGATATTTTATCTGAATGAGGATAGGGATAGATATTATATTGTGAGTATGGGAATAAGGATGGATATGATTTTAAATTTTTATTAGGTTTGAAAATGGATATAGATAATATAATACTTGTTTCGTACATGTATCTTATATATAGTTATATATGTTTAATAAATAGATTTTTTTATTAAATAATATAAACTATTATTTTAGATTACTTAGAATTAATCTATTTTTTATTGAAATATATATATTAATATATATTTATAAAAAAATCTAAATATACAAAATAAAAATAAATTTTAGTTTCATTTTTTAAAAGTTATGAATAAAGAATTACCCATATCTATTAAATATTAATGGGGATAAAAATGAAGATAAATTTAAAATATCTGTTGGATATGAATACGATCATAGATAAATATAAAAATCCAAAGATGAGGATGAAAAATACTCTACTCTACCTGACATCCCTGATAATCTCAACAAGTTGATAATTGACTTTGATGGAATATACCCTATTTTAGTATTTAAAAGTATTTAATGAGAATTCAAAATGAATTGATTTTTTTAAAAATAAATCGTTTCCCATCCTCTTTTTTTTTTTTTTTAATATTGTATCTTGTTGTTTTCTATATATTGTTTGAACTTTCAAAATGAATTGCTACTTAGAATGGCATTAATATTGTTTCACAAAATAATTCACAATTGACTTCTCAATTTTTTTTTACAAAAAATTCAATTACTTATTTTGATAATTAATTTTCATGTGATTAAACTTAAGTGGTTTTCTTGACAAATGAAAATGCTTTAATAGTCCATGCTAAGAACCTTGTCTCCATTTAATAGGCAATCCCAATATTAATGTTGGTATACCATTTCAAGCTAGAGCCATGAATGGTAAAACATCTTGTCAATTAGAGCATATATCTTCTATTTTTCAGGTTAGGAGTATCCTATATATTCCTTTTGAATGTGATGTGTGGACCTTATTCTACAAGGTTGTTCATCCTCTTACAAGAATGTTAAGTGTGGGAAAAGTATATATATGATAGAATTTGATTCCAATTTAAGGTTTTTATGGGCATATTGGAAAATTATCTCATTTAGATATATATAAAAATAAAAATAATATAATAAAAAAATACATTTATTAATCTCTAAATCTTCTTGTGTAGTTTAAAAAATTAATAGATGGTGTAAAAAAATCAATTATTTGTATTTACTTAATTAATTTGAAGGCCTAGAAATAACTATTAAAACCTCATACTAGATATTGTAGGACCTGTGACATAACCAATGTGATAATTAATTACTTGTATTAAATTAAAATTAGTAAAATAGATGTTTGACTTTTAAAATATATGATTTTTTTTTAGAATATTTCATTAAAATATATGGAACATAAACATTTCAATCAACTTAAGAATTTACATAATATCAAACAAGTAAGACAATAATTTCTGGAATCATTACTAAGGAAGAGTTAAAATAATGGTCATTGGAACTGACTTTTCTAAGAAACAAACTTCGAAAGAAATGGTCCGTAAAATGTCACATTAATAAAGACAGAAAGAGAGGTAAAAATGACCCAAAAAATTTTAAAATTGTAGAATTGTAGTCAATGATCATTTACTTTGATAAAGGTTTTTCTTGATGAATTCAAATTTGACATGCGATTGAGATAAATGAAAAGTTGATCAGTGACCATTTTTTTTTTTCATTGAGTTATTGTTTTATAACTCTTTTTTTTTTTTAATTAAATTATATTCTATCATTTGATTTAATAATTAATTTTTATTCAAAAATCAAAATTTAAATTCTTTTTCAACATTTTTCAAGTAAGAAAATAAATTCTACTTCAAAGTTTCCATTTTGCC